CTTATACACTAAGGGTAAGGTGTACCCTTATTCACTAAGGTAAGGTGTGCCCTTATACACTATGGTAAGGTGTACCCTTATACAGTAAGGTAAGATTGCATCCTTATACACTAAGGTAAGGTGTACCCTTATACACTAAGGTAAGGTGCATCCTTATACACTAAGGGTAAAATGTACCCTTATTTACTAAGGATAAGAGTCGGGTAATACACTTCCACTGTATACTCGTCTACTGCATACCCTATGGGTAAGAATCGGGTTCATTACCCTTAAGGGTAAGGGTACACTAGGATTGTATACACATCTTATATACGTGTAAGCCACCATGCAAGCCAAAACTAAAATAACCATTTTACACCCGAATAAGTACTCTTGCTAGCTAACACCTATGTCAAACGAAAACCTGCAGGGTGTAGTGATATGGATCTTCTCACTTGATAAGGGAAGATATAGAAAAGGGCATCGTAACATTACCAGCTTTCCCCTGAGAGTTTAATGTTGTTACCAACTTTCCCAGAGTGTTTACTGTTGTTACTAGTTTTCCTTAAGAATTTTACTGTTGTTACCAGCCTTCCCTGTGAGTTTAATGTTGTTACCAGCTTTCACAATAGAATTCAATGTTGCTACGAGCTTTCCCAGAAAGCTTAATGTAGTTACCAGCTCTCCAAGAGTTTAATGTTGTTTCCAGCTTTACCAGACAGTTTAGTGTTTTGCATGCTTTCCCAAAGGGTTCCCAAGCGTCACAGCCCATATAAGAAGCCCTGCCAGCGTTCAGAGCGTCAGATTACCCTTCTGGTGTTCATTGCTTCAGCATCTATCCTTGCTTATGGGTGACGGTAGACGCACATAGAATTTAGTATAATGTTTTACTTTCACCTATGTTATGAATGTAAAATTCACATGTATATATATTTCTCTTTTGATTTTGTTCAAGCCAAACGAATAAGGTAAGTTTTCATTAATTGTTATTTGTCATTTTGTGTAAAATTAAAATAATTTTTGGTTGTATTACATGTTTGAAGTTTTCATTTTCTTTTTTTACCCGCAGCTCTCACACAGTAAAGGTATCCAGCAGTTTTTTTTACTTTGTTTTCTCCTTTTTTGTATTAATGTGCAATTGGCACAACACCTGCCAGAATAGTTACTGCTCTATTACTGCGTCATATTATCACAGCAATATGGAAGTTGTAATGAAGGACCTGATGACTCTAAATGGAGCCCTGAGGACAGAGTTGGACTCTCTACAGGAGGAGGTACGACAGCTGAAACAACATCGAGAAGAAACGAAGGAGGAGACCAGTAGTAAAAAGACCTCGTCTTGGAAAGTAGTGAAGGACAGGGGCCTTAAGAAGTCTTTGATAAATCCGCCTACAGACGCCCTAAGAACTTCTACTTCATTTGCCATATTGGAGGACGAGTGCTGTGGTGAGACTGTGGTCACACGAAAGGGAAAGCAACGAAGCGCAGGCCCCTCAGAGAGTAAAGGAAGTACCTAAAAGAACTTTACTTGTGGGAGATTCCCAGATAAGGTATCTGGATGGAACGTTGTGCTAGAGATAAGAACAGGTTAAGGGTTTGCTATCCCGGAGCTGGTATTGGTGATATTATAAACAACATGAATGATATTATGGCTGGAAATGGGAACAATCCCGTTACTTGCATTAGCGCGGGAGGAAATGATGTTGGTCGAGTTAGGAGTGAAGAACTGATTCAGAGGTATAAAACAGCCATAGAATTAGTTAGAAGCAAGGAAGGAATCCTGATCATATGTGGCATTCTTCCAAGAAAGGGAGTGGGAAATGAATGGATGTCGAGGGCACTTGGTGACAATTGCCGGCTGGAAAGATATTGCAAATCGAATGCAATATCTTTCATAGACAACTGGGAACACTTCTATGGAAGAAATGAAATGTATGCTCGTGATGGGGTGCATCTATCGAGGGCTGGGGTTGTTGTTGTTGCGAACTCGTTGGAACCAGTGGCTAGAGGCGTTTGTTTGGGTTTAAACTGTTAGTAGATAGTGATATCGGAATTGATTTGGAGGAAGGAGGTAATAAAAGTATGTGTTTGTGGGAGAAAAGAATTGGCAAATTTATCAGGGAAAGAGAAGGGCCTCAAAATAACAATTCACTTAGGGTATATTACACTAACACTAGAAGTCTAAGAAATAAAATAAATGAAATAAATGCTCTTGTCTGCACAGAAAAACATAGATATTATTGCACTTATCGAAACGTGGATGAATGTAGAAAATAGAGAGCTATTAGCTAAATATCAAATAAATGGATTTAAACTATTTCACACTAATAGATATATTAGACGAGGAGGGGGAGTAGCCATATATGTTAGGGACAATTTGAAATGAATTCTCAAAGAGGGAATCAAAACTGAGCCACATACAGAAACTATTTGGAGAAAATTAAAAGAAAAAGCAAATAATATTATAATAGGAGTTATATATAGGCCACCAAATTTAGACAGAATGGATACAAAGCATCTATGGGATGAAATATCTAGAGCATCTAGATCTAACAGTATTTATGTCATGGGTGACATTAATTTTAATGGAATAAACTGGTCAAACAAAACAGGGAATAATGAAGCAGAAGATTTTCTAGAAGTAATTGATGATTGCTTTCTTACGCAACACATTAAGGAACCAACGCAGGGAAATAATATTTTAGATTTAGTGTTAACTAACAGGGAAACACAAATTAAGGACATCGAAATAGGGAGTGAGCTAGGGAAAAGTGATCATAAAGAAATCAGATTTAGCATAGAATGGAATAGATCTGTTGGAGAAAATTCTGTTAAAGTGCCAGATTTTCGCAAAGCTGATTTCAATAGCCAAAGAAATTTTTTGGGTTCCAAGATTGGAAAGTCTTGGGTATGGGGTGTGGGCCGGTATTGGAGCTAGGCGCGAACCCAGCGATAGGTGACGTAAAAGGGGGTTTTCGATGTGGATTCAAAATATAACCTATTTAAAAATATTCTAAGCAAAGCCCAGGAATGTAGTATACCATATAAATTGCATAGATCGAATACTAATGATCCAAAGTGGATAACAAATAATTTAAAGAACCTTATAGGTAAAAAGAGAGCGTGGTACAAAAGGATTAAGAATGGGGAAGTCAGTTTAGAACAGGAATTCGTACAACTGGTTAGAAATACTAAAAAAAAAGATAAGGAAAGCAAAAAGAAACTATGAAGTTCTCATAGCAGAGCAAGCGAAGACAAATCCTAAAGGGTTTTTCCAGTTATACCGGACAAAGATTAGGGAAAGGGTAGGTCCATTAAAATCTGAGACAGGTCAAATAACAGATAGTGATGAGTAGTATTTTTAATAAATATTTTATATCTGTATTTACTAAAGAGGAACTTAACAATATGCCTTCAGCCGAACAAGTCTATGTGGGTGGGGACGAGGACAGGTTGACTAGTTTAGCAGTTACCAGGGAGGATGTAATTAAACAAATAGTAAAACTCAAACCAAACAAATCCCCAGGGCCGGATGAAGTGTTTGCCAGGGTGCTCAAATAATGCAAAGAGGAGCTTTCCGAGCCACTTTCTACCATATTTAATAAATCAATAGAGTCAGGCAGAGTGCCAGAGTTATAGAAAGGTGCTTATGTGATACCAGTTTATAAGAAAGGAGATAGATCACTTGCGTCAAACTATTGACCAATTAGCCTAACGTACATTGTGGGAAAGTTACACGAATTGATAACTGCAAATAAAATTCGTCTTCATCTTGAAAAACATAAATTAATAATAATGGACTCGCAAAATAGTTTTATAAATGGCCGTTCATGTTTATCAAATTTGTTATCTTTTTATTCTAGATAGTGGTAAGGATTGTGATGTTGTGTACCTTGACTTTAGCAAAGCTTTTGATACAGTGCCACATGAAAGACTGATTAAAAAAATAGAAGGTCATGGTATTGGGGGTGCTATATTAAGTTGGATTAGGGCATGGCTATTCCAAAGGAAACAGAGAGTTAGTATAAATGGGGTTAAGTCAGAGTGGGAAAATGTTGTAAGTGGAGTGCCTCAAGGCTCTGTCCTGGGACCTCTGTTGTTTACAATATATATATAAATGATTTAGATTCAGGTTTGAGTAACAACATTTGCAAATTTGCCGATGATACAAAAATCGGTAGAGAAACTATTACGGAAGAAGACTCACTTTCACTTCAAGTTGATCTAAATAGGGTTTTGAAATGGTCAAAGGATTAGCAGATGCAGTTTAATGCTGATAAATGTAAAGTTTTGAGGCTAAGTAATGATGATAGAGTTACAAGATACGAGCTAGATGGTGTTGAGATTGCGAAGTCGGATTGCAAAAGGTATCTGGGAGTTATAATTAGTAAGAACTTAAAACAAAAGGATCAATGCATGAATGTTCGTAATAAGGCAAATAGGACACTGGGATTTATTAATCGAAGCGTTACAACAAGACACCTGATGTAGTTCTTCAGCTATATCTTGCTCTGGTTAGGCCCTATTTAGATTATGCAGTTCAGTTTTGGTCGCCGTACTATAGAATGGATATAAATTCACTTGAACGTGTCCAGCGTAGGATGACTAAGTTAATTCCCCAAATTAGAAATCTTTCATATGAAGAAAGATTAACAAAGCTTAAGTTGCATTAACTGGAAAGGCGAAGAGTTAGGGGTGACATGATAGAGGTTTACAAGTGGATGAATGGACATAACAAAGTGGATATTAATAGGGTTAATAGGGATTATTAATAGGGATTGCTAAAAAAAAAAATTACTATCCGATCTTCATTTTTTTTAAATGAGAGCCATTGTTTTCCCACAATCCTCCATAGGCCGCATGGGATTGTGGGTCACGCCATGCGGTCGGCCTAGGCCTTTGTTTACCTCTGTCGTGACCGGAATGCTGCCCGCCCGCGTCCATAACTTGTGCACCTCTCTGCCCTGTTTAGGCGTGTTTATTCGTTCCTGTGTCTTGCAATCTCCGTATTACTTGAAAACATGGATCGTGGTAAAGGACAGAGCACTTCGGCGCCCAAGAAAGATACGAAAACCACCAAGGAGGATAGGTTGAGTATGCTCTACCAAAAGTTCAGCAGGGTGAAGCTTACCCCCAGTAAAATTCCTGAATATTTAGATAATTTATCTGATGTCGAGGCAGATGTTGAGGGGGAAGAACGTCAAAGCGATTTCAGTAGTGATAATGAGGGGACCGCGACGTCTGATGAGTTTGATGAATCATCGAGTGAGGAGAGTAGCGAGGGGAGTGAGGATGAGGCCCGCCCCAAGCCACCCATAAGGAGGCGTACAGGACGGCTTCACCAGCCAAATCCTGACGATGCCTGGTCTAGTGACAATACACCACCATTTGTAGACAGTTTCACTGCCACACCAGGCCTAACTGTCCCAGTGCCAACCACTCCCGTGCAATTCATACAATTATTCCTGACACGGGCCCTCATTGAATATATCACAGTGGGAACGAACAGGTATGCCAGACAATTTATTCAGAATGCTTCCAGGCACACCATGAGGATGTGGCAAGAGGTATCGTTGAAGGAAATGGCCAGGTATTTGGGTCTGTCTATGTTGATGGGTATTGCACCCCTTCCGACGATGAGAATGTACTGGCAAACAAGCCGGTTGTGGCATATGAGGACCTTCAATATTTTCATGACTGCAAAACGATACCAACATATCAGCCAGTTTTTCCATAGTTACAACAAGCTTGCAATTTCCCCAAACAATAAGGACCGAATGGTAAAACTGCGCACAATCATTACTTATTTTACTACCAAGTTTGGCACATACTACGTTCCCAATAAAGCACTCAGTTTGGATGAAGGAACAATGTCGTGGCGTGGTCGTTTATCCTTCAAGGTTTACAATCCAAATAAACCAAATAAGTATGGGGTAAAGTTGCACATGCTTGCCGAGTAAGGGACTGGCTACATTACTGACTTTGAGGTGTATGCCGGAGTTGGTAAGACAACAGTGGAGACAATGATGGCCTTGATGCGGCCATTATTGCACAAGGGTTATCATCTCTATATGGACAATTACTATAACTCTGTCCATCTCACAGAATTGCTACGGGAACATGGTGTGTACACTTGTGGAACACTCAGCTTGCAGCGTGGCGCCTTAAACTTTTGCAACAACTTGCAAAAGGTAAATTCCCTGTTGATCAGACTATTTTCAGGCGCAAGGACAACACTTTTATTATCCTATGGAAAGACAAGAGAGTGGTGTCATTGATCACAAACTGCCACAATGCTGACACACAAGAAGTACAACGAAGGAAGAAAGTGAGGAAACGTGACGGAGCAACAACAGTAAAGATTGTAACTGTGCACAAACCCACTGCCATTTGCGACTACAACACCAACATGAAAGGTGTTGATCACTTCTACCAAATGGTCAAATATTACAGGTTCACCAGGAAATCACATAAGTAGACGAAGAAGATCACATTTTATTTCCTTCAGATGGGTCTACACAATGCCTATGTGTTGTACAAGATGTACACAATTGATGCCAAGAAATTGACCCTACTCCAGTTTCACGAGGTAGCAATATGGTCCCTGTTGAGGTGGGACCAGGATGAGTGGCCTGCAACTGAAAGCCCTATCCCACATGCTGAGGATTACCAAGATCCTTCTGATGATTTGGCACCACCGGGACCATCTGAAGTGAGGCGTCCTTTATTTCCTCCTCCACGCCAAGCACAAGACACATCCTCATCTGACACAGAACCTGAAACGGAAACGCCTGAACCTGAACCTCGTCCTCCACCAGTGAAAAACCCACGTATTGTTGATCCAGAGGATAGGCTGAACAAGAAGTTGATCCATGCTATAGTGAAAATTGCAAAACGTAAACGGTGTCGTGTTTGCATCAAGTCAGGAATAAGGAGAGACTCTATGTATCAGTGCAAGACATGTGGAGTTGCTCTGTGTGTCACACCATGCTACACAAAATACCACCGCAAGAGGGTATTTTGGGTGGCGAGAAAATAGCGCCTCTGCAACCATCCACTCCACCTAACGTAACATCTGTTGAGCAACTTCAGGGACATTTTCCTGAAGAAAGTGGAGTAGATAACCAAATGGTCAACTTATTGACCTTCCATCATCACATCGTGGGTAAGTACACACACTTTGTATACATCATTGTGAAGTTATTACTACTTCTACTTTGCTGTTGGTACCTCTATATATATTCCGGTTCTTATTGCTTAGATTGGTGTGTCTACATAGTGCATCTTATTGCGAGTATTTTGATACCAAAATGAACAATGTAGCACAAAAACTATATTATTAAAATATTTTTGTTTGTCGGGTGTATTGGGTGTAGCGGGTGTGGAAACGGGTGTTTGGGCGGAAGTGAGGCTTCGACGTGTTTGGGGGTGTGGCGCGCCCATGTAGTATAACTTTTATGGATATGTCTGTGTAGGCAATTTTATTGCGATCACAGTGATACAAAACAAAACCATATGCAACAAGTTTTGACTTGATAAACACAGAGTAGAAACATATGGGCGGAGTTTGGCTGAGTTTAGCGTGAACGCGTAACAAAGGACGTAGTTCTTTATTTGGTGGTGGCGTAATGTTAGCTTTGGTGAAATGTTATACCTTGATTCCATTTATACTAACTCTCTGTTTCCTTTGGTATAGCCATGCCCTAATCCAGCTTAATATAGCACCCCCAATACCATGAGACTCTATTTTTTTAATCAGTCTTTCATGTGGCACTGTATCAAAAGCTTTGCTAAAGTCAAGGTATACAACATCGCAATCCTTACCACTATCAACTGCCTCAACAATGCTAGAATAAAAAGATAACAAATTTGTTAAACATGAACGGCCATTTATAAAACCATGTTGCGACTCAATTATTAATTTATGTTTTTCAAGATGAAGACGAATTTTATTTGCTATTATAGATTCGAGTAACTTTCCCACAATAGACGTTAGGCTAATTGGTCGATAGTTAGACGCAAGTGATCTATCTCCTTTCTTAAAAACTGGTATCACATTAGCAACTTTCCAAAACTCTGGCACTCTGCCTGACTCTATTGATTTATTAAATATGGTTGACAGTGGGTCACAAAGCTCCTCTTTGCATTCTTTAAGCACCCTAGCAAACACTTCATCCGGCCCTGGGGATTTGTTTGGTTTGAGTTTTACTATTTGTTTAAGAACATCCTCCCTGGTAACTGCTAAACTCGTCAACCTGTACTCGTCCCCACCCACATAGACTTGTTCGGCTGAAGGCATATTGTTAAGTTCCTCTTTAGTAAATACAGATACAAAATATTTATTAAAAATACTACTCATCTCTTCATCACTATCTGTTATTTGACCTGTCTCAGTTTTTAATGGACCTATCCTTTCCCTAGTCTTAGTACGATATAACTGAAAAAACCCTTTAGGATTTGTCTTTGCTTGCCCTGCTATGCGAACTTCATAGTTTCTTTTTGCTTTCCTTATCTCTTTTTTAACATTTCTAACCAGTTGTACGAATTCCTGTTCTAAAGTGACCTCCCCATTTTTAATCCTTTTGTACCAAGCTCTCTTTTTACCTATAAGGTTCTTCAAATTCTTTGTTATCCACTTTGGGTCATTAGTATACGATCTATTCAATTTGTATGGTATACTACGTTCCTGTGCTTTGTTTAGAATATTCTTAAATAAGTTATATATTGAATCCACATCGAAATCCCCATTTAAGTCACCTATCGCTGGGTTCATGTCTCGCTCCAAGACCGGCCCACACCCCATACCCAAGCCTTTCCAATCAATTTGACCCAAAAAATTTCTTAGGCTATTAAAATCAGCTTTTCGAAAATCTGGCACTTTAACAGAATTTTCTCCTACTGGTCTATTCCATTCTATGCTAAATCTGATTTCTTTGTGATCACTGCTCCCTAGCTCACTCCCTATTTCGATGTCATTAATTTGCGTTTCCCTGTTAGTTAACACTAAATCTAAAATATTATTTTCCCGTGTTGGTTCCTTAATGTGTTGCGTAAGAAAGCAATCGTCAATTAATTCTAGAAAATCTTCTGCTTCACTATTCCCTGTTTTGTTCAACCAGTTTATTCCGCTAAAATTAAAGTCACCCATGACATAAATACTGTTAGATCTAGATGCTCTAGATATTTCATCCCATAGATGCTTTGCTTCCATTCTGTCTAAATTTGGTGGCCTATATATTACTCCTATTATAATATTATTAGCTTTTTCGTTTAATTCAATCCAAATAGTTTCTGTGTGTGGCTCTGTTTTGATTCCCTCTTTGAGACTACATTTCAAATTGTCCCTAACATATATGGCTACTCCACCTCCTCGTCTAATATATCTATCTGTGTGAAATAGTTTAAATCCATATATTTGATATTCAGCTAATAGTTCTCTATTTTCTACATTCATCCACGTTTCGGTAAGTGCAATAATATCTATTTTTTCTGTGCAGACAAGAGCATTTAATTCGTTAATTTTATTTCTTAGACTTCTACTGTTAGTGTAATATACCCTAAGTGAATTGTTATTTTGCGGACCTTCTCTTTCCCTGATCGTTTTGCCAATTCCTTTCTCCCACAAACACATACTTTTATTACCTCCTTCCTCCAAATCAATTCCCATACCTCTATCTACTAACAGTTTAAACCCAAACAAACACCTCTAACCACTTCTTCTAGCGAGTTCGCAACAGCAACAACCCCAGCTCTCGATAGATGCACCCCATCACGAGCATACATTTCATTTCTTCCATAGAAGTGTTCCCAGTTGTCTACGAAAGATATTGCATTTGATTTGCAATATCTTTCCAGCCGGCAATTGACACCAAGTGCCCTCGATATCCATTCATTTCCCACTCCCTTTCTTGGAAGAATGCCACATATGATCGGGATTCCTCCCTTGCTCCTAACTAACTCTATGGCTGTTTTATACCTCTGAATCAGTTCCTCACTCCTGACTCGACCAACATCATTTCCTCCCACGCTAATGCAAATAATGGGATTGTTCCTATTACCAGCCATAATATCATTCATGTTGTTTATAATATCACCAATGCCAGCTCCGGGATAGCAAACCCTTAACCTGTTCCCCCTATCTCTAGCACAAAACGATATGTTCCTATAGAACATTTCATTAGATACACAGTTATACCAAAATAAAACACGTACATCGAAAATGAGGGTCACAAACATGAGGAGAGTATAAACTTTTCAGTTGTGGTTGAGCACATGTGCAGCTGGGCGTGCTGGAGCAAGTAACCCTACGCCAACTTCCCACGTTCTTGTGGGTGGGGCGACACCATTATTTATGGTTTATATTCATATGTCCGTGTAGGGAATTTTATTGCGGTCAGAATGATACAAAAAAGAAACGACGAATAACAATTAAGGGGTTAGCAAACATAAAAACATCGTAAATATTGATGCGCGGTTTGATGCTCACGGCTAACGACCTCCATAGTTTCTTATTTGGTGTGCTTCTCATGTCGGATTTGGTGACAACTTATGTATATATTCCTCTAGAGCATTCTTTCGTAAACACATTGATACCAAATTTAAATACATACCGCGAAAATTAAGCTCAGCAGCCCGAAAAGATTATAAACATTTTAGTGCTGATGAGCAGTAGGCCCACACGAATGGCTCACTTGGGGGTCAAGGCCAGGCTACTGCCAGGGAGCGCGAGTATTAAAAGTATCAACACAAAACAGAACACGAAACAATGGGTATAAATTGGATAAGTTCAGATTTAGGAAAGACTTGGGTAAATACTGGTTCAGTAACAGGGTTGTTGATTTGTGGAACCAATTGCCGCATAACGTGGTGGAGGTGGGGTCCTTCGATTGTTTCAAGCGTGGGTTGGACATGTATATGAGTAGGATTGGGTGGTTATAAATAGGAACTGCCTCGTATGGGC